ACCAGTGACAGCTTACTCAGTAACTACATCACCAAACCTGTGGGAGGAAGCTTACTCAGTAACTACATCACCAAACCTGTGGGAGGAAGCTTACTCTGTAACTACATCACCAAACCTGTGACAGCTTACTCAGTAACTACATCACCCAACCAGTGACAGCTTACTCAGTAACTACATCACCAAACCTGTGGGAGGAAGCTTACTCTGTAACTACATCACCAAACCTGTGACAGCTTACTCAGTAACTACATCACCAAACCTGTGGGAGGAAGCTTACTCTGTAATTGCATTTAATTTATCTAAATATTGGTGGTCTGTGTACGTCTATAAACAATAAATACTAAAGGGAGGAGTTTTCATCAGTAACTTTCTAGTTAATCCTTACATAACTAGTGTGTGTCTGGCATAAAATGGAATCCTGAAAACATATCTGAGCCTGTTATGAAAAGAAAATATTTCATTCGAGACCAACTTCACTCAACAATCTGTAAATGAGATATGGTCTTATTGTTTCATGAAGCACTAGATGGCCAGAACTGATGACAATGAAAAACAGATGAACAAATGAAACATTTCAGAAAGCTAGAAAACCAGGGATGTTCAAAACAAATGCTACAGAAAGCAAGGAAAGCTGGAGTGCCAAAGTGAAAAGGAAAGACCTTCAAACAAAAACTCTCAAAAATCCAGAAACACTGGGATGTCTAAATGAAATCTTTACAAAGATAGAACATTTGGACATCTGTATGAATTGTTTCAAATAGCTATAAAAATAAAACAAGATAACAAAGCATTACATTAACCCCTGTGCTCTGCTTTTTTAATAGGAAGACACACAATCCTAAATATATACCAATATTACAACAAGTTTAATTTCTATTTGTTATCTTTAATTTTTCAATACAATGTATTGAAACTGAGACCTTCTACTAGAGTACTAGCTTGGTGCCTGTACAAAGTGTTGAGTACTTGGTAATTACCTTGAACAGTTTAAGAGAACTGGTTTGAAAAAAACTGAACTTTGTGATTTAGTCTATCTGTTTCCATGGTAAAAGAAAAAATATTCAAATGGAGAACTTCTCCATAGCAAAAGATTCTACAAGCTTAATAAGTGTAAAAGTTTTGAGCAATTAACTTGAACGGTTTTGGAGCACTGGTCCAGAAAAAGTGAAATTTGTGATTATTTGTTTCCATGGTAACAGAAAAAATTTAACTACGACACTAACCTAATGTATATACAGAAAGTTTTGTGGAGTTGAGTTGAATGATTTCGAAGTTGTAGCCTGGAAAGGAAAGTTAACACTAATTTTGTGCTTTTTAAATATGTTTCCATGGTAACAGAAAAAATATAAAAGATGAATGTTGTCAATAGCAAAAGGTACAACTAGGGCATTAACCTAATATATACAGAAAGTTTTTTGGAGTTGAGTGGAATGGTTTTCATGTTATAGCCCAGAAAAGCCCTCGGATGGACTGATGGACACACAGAGCCCAAATTAGTATCTCCCTGCAGACATATTTCCTTGGGGAGAATTAGGGATGTCCTAATGAAATGCTTCGGAGAGTTCAAGTTCTCAGGTCATTAAAATGCAACTGTCCAGAGAGTAGAAACCAGAGAAATCTCTATAAAACCACACAAGACACCATATCTAATAACATTCTTAGACTTCAAACTTTTGAGAACCGTGGTTACCCTCAAAGACATCAGAGAACTGAGTTACACCTCTAAGAAACCCTCCAGGACACTAGAGATCTGAGGTACACTTTAGAAACCCTTCAGGACACTAGAGACAGAGATACATCTCTTAGAATCCCTTCAGGACACTAGAGAACTGAGGTTCACCCCTTAGAATGCCGAGGAAAAAGGAAGACTGAGGTACACTCCATGAGAAACTCTCTTGACAAAAGAGAACTAAGGTATGCCCTAAAAAACCTCCCAGGACACTAGAGAACTGAGGTACACTTTAGAAACCCTTCAGGACACTAGAGAGCTGAGGTATGCCCTAAGAAACCTCCCTGGACACTAGAGAACTGAGGTATGCCCTTCAAAACCTCCCAGGACACTAGAGAACTGAGGTATGCCATTAAAAACCTTCCAGGACACTAGAGAACTGATGTATGCCCTAAGAAACCTCCCTGGACACTAGAGAACTGAGGTATGCCCTAAGAAACCTCCCTGGACACTTGAGAACTGAGGTATGCCCTAAGAAACCTCCCAGGACACTCAAGATTAGAAATGTGAAAATATGAATAAGCTTTCGCCAATATTACATCACTGATACAGAGATTGATGTGTTTCTGCCATTGTCATAATGACCTGACATGATATACATTAATGCAAGTATAGAGATGGCTGTCACATGGTAAGGGACAATATATTTATATGTCAACAATTCAGCCAAACGCATGGCAAGCCTGGAGGCTTATAAAGACAGATTGCACATGAAATGGTTTATTAACTGACTGCAGTGAACAAATTTGACTTCACTGGAATGTACAAATTATTCCTTGGAGCATTAATACAAATGCTGTAACTGTGATCAAATCTTGCCACTTAAATCAATGACATGAAGTGCATTTATTTAGAGGTAATTAGAAGCCTTTCTCCACTTGATGCAGTATAAATCTTCTGATATGCCAATACTATTGCAATACTTGCCCCGGGAGCCCATTATCAGTGGCAGATTGAGTGTTACTGTACCAAAGAAGGGATCTTACAATAAAAAAAATCCAGTTACCATAAAAACAGTGCTCAGATACAAAATTACAACAAGGTTTTTAACATATTCTCTGTCAAATAATGCATTCTTCAGCTACAGAAATTTACTAGTTACATTTGTATAGTAAAATGTCTGTAAGTCAAGGTGTTCCAACAGGAAGGTTAATTTGCACCCATAGACTCATATATCTCTCATCTTTAAATGTAATTTCTAGTTTTTTTTTCTCTTTTTATAAATAGTATGTTTTTCCTTTTTCAAATTAAAACTTGTAAACGTAATACGACTGAACAGCTCAGCTTCTCCAAGTCAGGTAACCAGAACATCGTTTTTCTTATCTAGAATAGGTTTTTCTAAAACAATGAAATAAGAGATAAATCAATATCACATTATAAGTTTTAAAAGACTGACCTAAGCTAATCAATATGAAAATCAAACATCAGTTTGTATTATAATTCCCGGTTAAAATCAATTAATTTGAAAATTTCGGTTCAGACTTGAAACGCTGACAACGCAAAGAAACGAAATAACTCTCCTTTCAATGATATAATCATGTATTATTGAGGGTTGTACCAGACCCCACACTGATACGAGTTTTATATTTACAAAACATTAAACTGCACAATAAAAATCCCTTCAAACAAATTCCAATGGTGCCATCAAGAGATAGGATTTGAAGTGAAAGTAGCCAACAAAGGACAACTTATTACAGGCTATATAATGAAAGTTCAATTGTTTTTGCTGTTTTCAATTATTAATCCATCAATGATAAAATTGTTAAGTGGACAGAATGAAAGAAGTGTTATACTGTGAGCACCTCACCGTGACAGTAGATCTGACAGACTCGTCACGGTTGATTAACTAATCCACCACAGTGAGACAGTCATAAAAATGCCGTATTTATGGTGGATGTTATCCTCTTTGAAGGAAAGTGCAGTGTACCAATATCATTTATTATTAATATTTGTCAGACATATCATAAATCTTTGTATACATATTAATGCTTTGAAGGAACAGAAAGACACAAGAAAAACCAGTCAAATTTAATCTAATTGTCAGATGCAGGTACAGCACAATTTGACAAAGAAAACTCTTAATTCTACATCTCAAATATAATCTGATTACAACTTGGAACTTAAAACTTACTGGAACTTGTCACTCAAAATTAAGAAATTGATTATGCTATATGATATACCTTATCCAAATTTGAGAGATTAATGGTAGTAAAATTTCAGACACATAATTAATACATTAACACCGACCAACTTCAACAACCAAGACTAGAATCTAATTTCACAATCACAAGCAACATGCTAGATTGCATGACATAAGCCATTTATTGCTATTTCAAGATCAGATGTGGGTCAATGATAGCCCATACTGTAAACTACACTCAGGAAAAACTTCATTTATTTTGTTCTATGTTTAATGAATTTTCTCTATGATGACCCAGATAGACATATCTAGGTGAATCTTCTCTATGGATCAATAGACAAAACACCCATGTTATAAGTCGAAGGTTTTAGGATACATCTGAGGTTATGACAGATAGAAGAAAATCAGTTGTCTTGTTATGTTCTCAGCAGCAAACTGGTTAATACAATGCCAGGGTCAGTCTGAGATATCACAAAGAGATGCACAGAAAACACCTGATTCTAATAACTCTCTCCAGATACATGTCTATACCAGTCAGTGATCTAAAATTTTACAAATTAGAATTTGGCTGATTGTTGAGGATAATAATATTTCATGTATCAACAGCCATGACTAACAATACTGTGTGACATATCAACAGTCATACAGCCAATCAGACTGGAACTTTTATCTTTATACACCAATAGGTCTCGCACTGAGTGACAGTATCAGCCCCCTCATCCCTTACATCCACATCTGTGCTGCTCTGACAACACAGAGTATGTCCTATTGGATATTATATGCCTATAAATCAATTGTCTTGTTTCTTGCAGTACAGATGTTCATATGTTAGTAAAATAAGATTTCAATCTCAATCACCTTACTCACTAGCTCGATACAGATTGCTAGAAGACAATTCTATCATGGCGAGCCCCTTGTCTTCAGTGATAATCTATGAAACTTCAAAACCTTTCATTTCCTAGTTCAATACAGCCCAAAATATTAATCAAGATTGACCTCAAATACTTAACAATTTTTTATTATAAAATCCACAGTGATTCGTTCAATCTTTCAATGAATGGTTTGCATCATTAGAGGATGGACTCTGAAGTTAAATATCACTGAGTCACTTTGGTGAAGCGTCCTACTTACCTGGTAATATAGCGATGCCAGATTTAAGAAGGTCATAGTTGACGTCTAGAATGGTCTGGGGCACATCCAGTGTGCGATGATGACAGAATCCCGGGCTACGTGGACTAGTTGATTCATTACTTGTACCACTGCCCCGCTGCCCAGATCCTGGGGGAACCGCATGTGGTGATCCACCTACAGCAAATAAGTAATTTAGATAGCATAAACGTACAATACAACAAAGCCTTACTTTTTTTAAACTCAAAATGTTTTTTTACGAAAAGAATAAAAGCTATGGGTATAAAACAAGAAAATGTTGAAGAATTTGCATGTCATAAAACCCCAATTCTTAACATAATATAGCATTTCAGTGTCTAATGGATGGAGTTATGATTGTATAGGTCAAACATATTATGTATCATGACCTTTACATCATACACAAAAGGTTTATTGACCTTTAAAGGTCAGGCTTCACATTTCTATGTTTGTTACTTATTTTTGGCCTGAAAATGAAAAGAATATGAAATCTAAGTAGAAAACATTCCAAATTTTGTAATATTTCAAACCATCCAGAGCCTTGACACAATTCAACTCTTCAAACCTTAGGTTTATTCTGTATGGCCATGAATTTGATCTTATACTATCATGCTGGGCTGAGTATGATCATTTAACTCTGGATTAAATCTACATTAAGGGATATTTTCCTGTCAAAAAAAACTTCTACAACAGGTAAAAATATCTCAGGTGTACTTGTATCTTATAAAGGTAAGCTTGTGAAGTGACCCAAAACAAATAACTTTTTGTTACCACGTCTATCTCTTGAGGGATCTGTCACAATGTTCCATGGTTTTACATTAAATAAGTCTAACAAAACATGTCCTACTTTTTTTCTCTCCTTTGTGACTTATCTCTAATCAGACATTGACATCAGGTTCATATCTGTATAATTTCATAGATCACAAAGATGTATACAAAACTCCCAGTACAAAAACTGAGACTGCTTGGTGGCATAGCGTGTAGAATTAAGGTGATTCCTGTTAAAATGAATGTCTTTTGAGAAGGGAGAGGAAGGACTTAACTTGGCTCTCTGTGGGAGCTTGAACTTTTGCAAAGGCAGTATGACATGTTTCAATTTGCTCAAGTTGTGTCACAGATGCAGGAGCTTGCACATGTACAAATTAAGAGGAAATAGGATGCAAACAAGGTCACAGAACAAAAGGAATTAGAAGCACAAGGTCAGAGTCTAATGAAAGTAGGATGTACAAGGTCAGAGAACAAAGACAATTAGATGTACAAGGTCAAATTACAAAGGGAATTAGATGTACAAGGTCAAATTACAAAGGGAATTAGATGTACAAGGTCAAATTACAAAGGGAATTAGATGTACAAGGTCAGAGAACAAAGGCAATTAGCTGTACAAGGTCAAATTACAAAAGGAATTAGATGTACAAGGTCAGAGAACAAAGACAATTCGATGTACAAGGTCAGAGAACAAAGGGAATTAGATGCACAAGGTCAGAGTCTAATGAAAGTAGGATGTACAAGGTCAGAGAACAAAGACAATTAGATGTAAAAGGTCAAATTACAAAAGGAATTAGATGCACAAGGTCAGAGTCTAATGGAAGTAGGATGTACAAGGTCAGAGAACAAAGACAATTAGATGTAAAAGGTCAAATTACAAAGACAATTAGATGTACAAGGTCAGAATTTTAATGGAAGTAGGATGTACAAGGTCAAATTACACAGACAATTAGATGTACAAGGTCAAATTACACAGACAATTAGATGTACAAGGTCAGAGTCTAATGGAAGTAGGATGTACAAGGTCAGAAAACAAAGGGAATAAGATGTACAAGGTCAAATTACGAAGGGAATTAGAGGTAAAAAGTAGATGTATGAGATGAATGAGATGTAAGAGTACAGGATCCACATGTCACAGATGCAAGAAAACAAGATATGGAGTTTATTTCAGTCAATAAAAAACAACCTGTTACCTGTACAAATAGACATGCTGGTCAATTAGTAATAGAAATCACATGTTCTCCAAATGTCACACATCTTACTGTAGATTGTGTTTCTGGATGTACTGACACACATATACAAAATGATTCACACATAAGCAGGAATACCTAAGGAGAAGATCTGTCCCTTGCCTTTGTCTGTCCTTCACTTGTATCTGTCCAAAATATGTGTCTGTCCTTTATACGTGTCCCACATACCTGTGTCTGTCCTCTATCTGTGTCTCCCTTACCTGTATGTATCCCTTAATGTTTCTGTCCCTCACCAGTGTCTCCCATAACATTGTCTATCCCCTACCTTTGTCTCCCAAACCTGTGTCCCCCATAAATGTGTCTGTCCCTCACCAGTGTCTCCCATTAATGTGACTATCCCCTACCTTTGTCTCCCAAACCTCTGTGTCCCCCATAAATGTGTCTGTCCCCTACCTGTTTCTGTTCCTTACCAGTGTCTGTCTTTCACATACCTGTGTCTCTCATACCTGTTCTTTCACACATTGAGAATATATTGGTGTAAGCCAGGTAAAGTTATCAGGGATTTAAGTTCGATGCTAGGAGACATATAATGTTAGGATATATTCATTATGTGTCATTGAGACTGCTATTAAGGGCAGATTTTGATCTTAAAACCTTATTTCACTATTATGTAACTGATATTTAATTGATATTGATACCATAGGGTATACAGATTGAGATGCCATATGTACAATTGGTAAATACCATAAGCCTTGGGCTTCACCCTCTGGCTGGGAATCTCCTACTCAATATCAATCTCCTGTCACCAGTCTAGTGTTCAGGTTTTATTGTTCAAAAATTATTGACAAGTACTACAAAGGACAAATATTTTAATAAAAAAATTGAACTTGCCTCCTAACCCAGATAAAAGATTTATTGTTTTACAATAGCACAAGATATAAACCAACTAGCGATGTCTTTCCAACTTTTGAGTCAAGATGAAAAAAAATACTTTCAATTCATTTATCATGTTGTGACAAATTTTCAGTACTGTTTTGATAAATTTAAAAGAGCCAGAATTGATGGAAATGAAGATCTTAGATTTAATACCATCAATACTTTGGGCATTTACTTTACACATGCCCTATATCTGCATCTTCAATAGGAAAGTAATAAACCTATTCTTAGGGACCATACCAGCCAGCTGATGGTAGAAACATCATAAAAACATCTGTAGGAAGTGACAAGGCATGTTTTTTGATAACATATCAAAACACATCTTGACAGGGTTACTGTAGATAAGATAAGTCATGCACATCTGAAAACTTGTTAAACACATGTTTACATGGTCTATGTATATATGCCTTGTAATAACAGGCACATCAATTCACTCTCTGAATCTCTAAACTGCCTCCCAACTTCTATCCCCTTCTCCACCACCCACACACCTTCTCATCCCCTCCCTGCCACCCACACATCTTCCCACCCCCTCCGTGCCACCCACACATCCTTTAACACCCATTCTTGCCTGAATCATCATGTTTTAGTCTTGACTCCTTCTCAATCCAATCTAGGATGCAAATTTTGTTAATATTTAATAAGCATGCTAGAGATGCAGAATCATATCAGGTCTGCTTCTAACTCCCCCCCCCCCCCCCCCCCACACACACTATCTGTCCTGTTGAAGTGTGACATCTCTCTCCTACTTGTACCTATGAAGATGGGACTTGGACCAAACTTTGACTGTGTATCTACACCTCTAATATCTACAGAAGTACTACAGAGTTGACTAAATCCTACAAATACAATGTACTGTAGTGAAGGAAACAGTTTCTTTTAGGGTATGGTATCACAGTCTCCAAAAGCATAAGTACTATCTCCTTAGTCTCATTTATTTTAAGATGGGATATTTGAAGTCTTGAATATCCAATTCATATAGTTTTTAAGATTCTGGTCAAGCATGACTAAAGATTAGCTGACCACATGCATGAATACTTACAAGCATGCTTACCCAATTTAAGTGATGGTGGACGTATTCTAGCACTACCACACTTATCACTGGCTTGTGCACGAAGAACATCACAACTTTTACACCTTCCTCTATCTAACGATTTTAATTCCAAGGTACTCATTTCACATTCTGCGGATTTTAAATCCAATGTATCGATTCCACGATCCGAGAATTTTATTTCGGATGCCCCGATTTCACTGGCTGAAGTATGTATTGCACTAGTACTAAATGATTTATATTTCCCAGTTACGATTGGAACACAAAACATAGGACATTCCGACAAACTTTCCGTAAATCCCTTTAACCCTTCAGAGAATGAGGTGACACTATTGCCATCTTGGAGATCTGTTGTAATTGGTTCCATGGGGTGTTGGGGTGGTTCCATGTAAATATTGTCCTCCGATTCCAGACTTGTAGTCAGTGAGCTCCCTTGAGAAGAGTTATCTCTCCTTAGCGTGGATACACAATCACAGAAGGAATCATCTGTGCTTTGCTTGCCTTCACTATGACTGTCCAGGTGTGGGCCCCCAGACTCCTTACTGGCTGTATCATCGAGTCCAAGGGAGTCAGCCGATGTGGAAGACACTGACAAATCTGTAGAGGATGGATCTGGAGTATAATACTTGTCTAGTGAGTACAGGTCATCGTATTCATCACAACATGTGTCCAGCTTACTACTGTCATCGTCTTCATCGCAGGAATCTAAGTCTAGAGTGACCAGTCCAACAGAAGGACTGTGCAAAGTGACCACACCAGTTGGGCTGTCAATCAAAAATCTTGATTGATCAATCACAGGTGTGCAATCTTCACTTGCTATTGGGGTCACAGAGTCCTCATCCAGGTAACATTCTTGGTCTGGGGCTAAAGGACTGTGGGCCCCTGCTCTGGACAGCTCCCTATAATTACATACTTTCAATGGAGATTTTAGGCCCAGGGCACTTTCTGTCTCCTGGCTCCTTATATCACCTGTAAGATTAAGAGGGCTGGCCAATTCTGGCCCTTCATGGCATTGAGATGTTGTCCTGTTCATCAGACCAGAAGGACTGTCACCTGAATGCTGTGAACCTGAGTTTGTTCCTCTATCACCATGGAGATTAAGGTCTGAACTACCACTTCCCTCCATCATTGTATACTTTGTTTACCTGACATTGTGATGAGTGAAGTCTAAATAAACACCTATGATTAATGTCCTTGTGACTTCAGGCTGACCATTAGATAGCCATTTACTGGACATCTTTATGTAGTCAATTCACAATACTTCTATCAACAACAGGAAGTCCCTCATTGTTGCATTTCCAAACAAATTCTGTCTGGGTACCCCTACTGGTCGTAACTGTGTCATGCACAGCCAGGTAGCACCCTCACACCCTACATAAATCTAAGACTTGACCTGGCAATTAATCCAAGGAAAAACTCATCAGAGAATTAAGGTTTGTGTTAATCACTGGGTCCTGTATTAGACTCACAGTAATCCAATGTGAGTATATACAAGGCTATATATGGATGTATTACATCAGAGCTTTAGCCAGGCAGGCTGGAGTGTTTGCTCTCTGTTCTCAAGCCTTTCCGTGTGTGTTAGCTCCATGTCAATACCTCATGACTATTTTGACATACACAGCTTATTACCAATGAACATCTTCCTACAGGAAAGCGATGGCTCCATTCCAGGCTAAAACAACATAGCATCAATACCCACAGTCACTTCTAATGCTGAAAAAAAACTGCAAGAGCCAGTATCCCTCACTCGTTCATAAATGTTGATACAACCAAGCACCAATAGGCAGAGTCATTCCTAATGTCCTTAGCAGAGCTATGAAATAATGTACCTATACCATTTAAATGCCACACACTAGCATTGTATCTGTACTGGTGATGGTCCAGCCAACGGTCACACATTCACAGGTCTGGTCACAGATCAACATAAGGTTTCTATTGATTACAGACAACATCTTTATCCCGAATATTAAATCCTCTCCTCGCGTCTCCGCTCCTCAATAGCAATAATAATATGATATTCAAATAAATTCTATTTATAGATCATAGTATTTTCCAGTTGAATTGTATCGAAACTTTCTCATTGATTGGCTGCTGTGAACACAGAGATGATAACAACACCGAATGTATTAGGTACACAGTTACTATAGTGGTATGTCCCAGGTTGTATCTCTGATTAGAAATCTGTAACCTTGATATAAATCCGTCCACCTGGTCCTACATTTACTCCAGCCAGCCTTTGGAACCTCACTAGAACCTGGCCTGGGACAATGACACAATGCTGGGTTTTCCTATACATTCATCCAATCTACATTTCATTGTGCCGTTCAGGAAACTCACAAGGTTGAAACAGATTAACAGAAATTCCGCTTCCTTCATGTAAAATGTTTCCAATGCTCCATAAAATGGCAGCCTTGTTTTTCATGTAGATACTGCTGTGGAATTTCCAATAAGACTAATCAATATGTGTTCTTGGTAGCAATTTCAAGTCTAGATTTTCATGTCAGCAGCACTTCAAAGCGGCATTTGTCAGTGTATATGTTGTAGTACTTCAAGTGTAATTAATGTTTAAACAACATGTAATATCCAGTCTAGTGATATACACTCTAAGACTAGGCCATGAATACCACCATTCAGGACACTGGTCACCCCAGAAATCAAACTCTGTCCACTCCAGTTTTAACGCTATATGGACACTGTCCAATTCCACACAATTAACACAGGACACAGGAAATCTATCTAATATTTAGATATTCTGGACACTGTCCACTCCTGTATGAACAGAACTGATTCTAATTCCTTGTCAGTGTATATCCATTGCCACCAAGTCCTACAGGACAGATCACTAGGATTTGCAGATATTGTCACTGACAGTCCTGACTGTACAGATCACTATAGTCTGTAGAGAAGTCCTCTACTGGACAGTCTCAATATACAAAGCTTGGCTACAGTCCATTAGATGTATCTTCAATGATATACTGCATCAATGTGAAATGTGATCTTTATGTCTCTGAATCTATTGTCTATGTAAATGTCCTGTCATATAGTCCCAACCTCGCTCCAGGAGGATCCTTTAACTCCCTTACCACTCCTAGTAGTTTGCTGTCTGGTGACCAACCTCTAACACTCACTGTCCAGAAGTGACCCCGCTGGCTATGCTCCCTGAGATATCACTGGCCGAGGGATTGGTTACCATGCAGGGTCCCCAGCTGTTTGTGGCTTGCACTGCAGATCTACCATGTGTGAGGGAACAATACCCATCCAACAGGGGATGTGTCAAAACCAAACTCTTTATTACTCTGACATTTGCAGATGCTGACATCCCTCGGTTCTGCTTCATAGTAAATGCTGCATGTACAAGTGAACATAAATTAACTTATAAAACAGCCTTTTCCACCGAATGAGCCACTGCTGCATATCAGGTATTGATCTGGAGTATTCCCCTCACCAGGTGTAGGGACAGGGCAACATCAGAATAAGGTGAGACTTTTCACCTAACTGTGTCCTGGTGCTTTTGTCCCCTGTTAGTAGTGTGGTGACAATGCCTAGTATCCTAGTATTTAAAACCTAACTAAGTTCTAGACAAGCAATAAAGAACTTCTGAGCCTTATCAAATTTGTTCCGTCACCTTGTGTGATACAAAGTAAATCTATTGTTTTGCACTAACATTGCTGCTATAATTTTACCCATCATCTCCAGTAACATCTTCCTTTATGGCTATTGTCATTTTCCCCTCCACATCCTAGTATAATGTGGGAGGCAGACAATTTATTATATATCATACATGTATATATTGTCAAATAAGAGATGAACATTCTGCAACCAAATATACGGTCCCGTGAAGTAAAGGTCTGTAGAGCATTATAGTAACACCCATAAATCTTTAAGTTATTACATCACTAAACATAACAAATTTATCTCATCTTGAGAGATATGAACATTGTGATATCCCTGTGAACCTACTTCTTTATCAACCTTCATACCTTTGTATAAGCTGTGTGTAATATGTCACTTCGCTGGGTTATATACATAACAATTAGTTGAATGAGTAGTTCCCAGGGTTTTCTACCTTGTTTCTAGAAAAGATATTCATTTCTATACGGAGATTGGCCTTGTTTCTGGAGTTGTCTTATGTTTTGGAGTATATAAATAATTCTAATAAGGGATCTACATTTTGTGCCTGAAGCTGATCATTTACTCGTTTTTACAACAGAAAATTTCACCCTAATATTACCAAAACAAAATTTCACACCTAATATTACAAAAACAAAATTTCACACCTTATATTACAAAAACAATCTGATTTTGAAATCCAAATCATTAAATTCAGTCATCCAACAAAAATTAATAAAAAAAACCCCGGAATATTCAATTGGAAATAGACTCCCTGAAGTATAACGCAGACTCAGAACCTACAGTCTGTGATCTACTGTTGCTTCATGTATATCAACTACAGCTTTATAGAAATATTACTTCTATCATGATGTAGCAAACTCTTGCTGATGTGTTTCAATTTTTCCTCTTTTCATTGAAGATGTGGTAGTATGAATATTTCATAGTTTGACACCAAACTAACACCATGTTTTTTACCAGGAATCAGACATATAAACACATACATAAAGGAGAAAAAAACTGCTTTGAAATTTGAAAATATTTACACAGCAGTAGACAACCCAGAGAATATATAAAGAGATAGGCCCTCTCTTCCACCATTTCAGGAAAGTGAAATATATCCGATGGCTAACATCCCATTTCCCATTGTAAATGACATTGTGGACCCAGGACATGGGAAAAGACTAACACTACCAAAATCTACCTGATAAATTTCGGAGGGAGACAGGCACAACCTTTGAAGTAGCTGACATTTCAATGAACTGGAAATATCAGGTCTTTAATTTACCCGAGATATAAATAAATCCCGCTTTAGAGAGCACAAAGCTGGTCATTTATAATACATGTCCATTATGTAGTGGACAATGATAGGCTGACCACTTTTTTATCTACCCATCAACCATATCTGTCCAGACCTGGTAACACTGCTATTGTACGGTATTGTGTCATTTCCTCCAGATGTCAAGTTTTCCTCAAGATAATTTATCTATTCTCAAACATTATTTCTAATTTGAGTACCCAAATCTTCGTTAAAATTGTTTACATTGTCAAATTACATTTTAATGATTGCTATTGACCAGTTATCCCTAAAATAGTCTTCCTATGAGGTTGACTGAGCTTTTTGAGATTGGTGTCACCCGACTCTCTTTAATATACTGTCTCCCTCACGGATGAAATATGGACAGGTAAGGTATTCCCAATGAATATGACTATAGACATTTAAAGCTGGCTTTTGTTACAGGTGAGACAATTAATCCTAGGTAATAATCCAATCAATTAGCAGAGTAATGACCATTGTATATCATAGGATACCTGTAGGACAAGCCCTAACACCTCAACACCATTGGTCATATGAACAATCTTATGGACCTCTAATATAAGCAGTTTGTTAGCCTTCTATTGTACACAGAATTCCTACCCTTTCACCAGAGGGCAGCTACTGACCCAATTATTTAGCCCTCAAATTCAAGTAGAATTCCAGCCCTCCAATCAGGAAGCAGCTTCCAACAAAATTAGTTAGCCCTCTAATTTTGTCTTTTAAAAAGAAGCCCAGACCTCCTACTACAAGTTAGCACCATATCTTTGTTCTTTATTTCAGAAAGAAGCCCAGACTTCCTACTAGAAATTAGCACCATACCTTTGTTTTTTCATTTCAGAAAGAAGCCCAGACTTCCTACTAGAAATTAGCACCATACCTTTGTTTTTTTTTTACTTCAGATGGAAACCATATCTTTGTTCTTTATTTCCGATAGAAACCTAGATTTCCTACTAGAAGATAGCACCATACCTTTGTTCTTTATTTCAGAGAGATATCCAGACTTCCTACAAGAAATTAGCACCATACCCTTGTTCTTTATTTCAGAGAGATATCCAGACTTCCTACTAGAAATAAGCACCATACCTTTGTTCTTTATTTCAGAGAGATATCCAGACTTCCTACTAGAAGATAGCACCATACCCTTGTTCTTTATTTCAGAGAGATATCCAGACTTCCTACTAGAAGATAGCACCATACCCTTGTTCTTTATTTCAGAGAGATATCCAGACTTCCTACTAGAAGATAGCACCATACCCTTGTTCTTTATTTCAGAGAGATATCCAGACTTCCTACTAGAAATTACCACCAAACCTTTGTTCTTTACTTCAGTAAGACTACTAAACCT